ACACACTAAAAATAGAAAAACTAGCTGGGTGTTGTGGCAGGCACCTATAGTCCCAGCTACTTAGGAGGATCGATCAAGCCCAAGAGTGTGAGGTTGCTGTGAACTATGACACCCAGGCACTATAGCCTGGGCAAGAGTGAGACTCTGCCTCAAAACCATAAACAAAAACAAAACCCTCCCAGCTGAAACAACAAGAAGGTCCAAACAGGAGGCCACATTACAAGTGGTCAATAGTTCAGACCTTTGAAAGTTGTCTGTGGAGACTCACTTGGGCTCACGTCTGCTGCTGCACAGCACAGCTGTAGGACATGGGGTGTCTCCACAGCCCTGCACCTTCACCCCACATGAGGACTATGGTGATAACTGACAGCACATGTGGGAAGCAGCCTGCACCATGCCTGGTCACTGCTTCTCGAAGGAGGGCTTTGAGGATCACAGCACACGGCTGTGTCATCTGCTACCCAAATGTTTTCTTAACTTATGTAATGTTCTCAAAATTGGCATCAACAGGTCCAACAGATTCAAGAACCCTGGGTGCGGCAGATCATGGTGGCTTCTGCCCTGCAAATTCGAACTCAAGAGCCAGCTGGGACAGCCCTGAACAACCCAATCCCTTAGAAAGCTTGGGACTATTTCACAGACCCTCTTTCCTGAGACCCCCTTCTGAGCGGTGGAAGCAGCTGTGACTGATGCACGAATGCAGAGTGTCCCGCTTCCTCCCCATGACTGCAAAACCGTGAGCAACCAGCCAGGAAGACTGTGTGGCAAGATTTAATAGCAATGGCATCTCAGAATGGTGAGCGGCATCATGCACGTTGGCTATCATCAGTGCCTCTTTATTGCCATCGGGTCTGTGACTGTTGATAGAGTGACGACTTCAGGAGCAACAGGTGGATTAAAAAACTGTGGCTGGGCAGTTCTTTGAGGAGAGGGACCAGGTAAGGACAAGGAGAGCTCAGAATCGGACGAAGGTGGCATCGATCTGCCTCACAGAGGGCAGGGCCAGCATGACTTTGCGCCTGTACTGTGGGTCCTTCTGCAGGGGGTTGCGCTCCAGGTACACTGTCTCCAGGCTCCTGGCGCCCTTCAGCTCGTCCAGGTCACTCCAGCTCTCGAGGAGATTGTCGTTCATCTGGGAGGACACACACATGCACACATAAGAACAGCCTTGAGAAGCGGATGCCCTGCCCCTTATACCCATGAGCCTCACATCTGCGAGGGGCCATGGTGGTACCCTCAGCCTTCCCACTGGAGAGACAGTGAGATGTGGTACTGAGCTTCCCTGGCACCTCACGAAACCTGTCACTTCCTGCCACCTTTCAGGAGTATCCCAAGTGGATTGTATCTGTCACCCAGGATGGGGCACACCTCAATTCAGATCAGCAGGGGAAAGACCTGCCATACTGGGCCGCAGGGAAGTGCTAAAGCAGGTTTGGCCACGTTTCCTACAAGTCAGTTCTCAGGACCTGTCTCCAGGGCTGAAACTCCGGGCTTTGACTTAAGAGTCAGTAGGTCAGGGGCTGCTCCACCTGACATTCACAACTAGTGTGTAAATTACTCCTACAGCCATTCCATGGGGGCAGCCTTGTTGCCCTTGTCCCATCATGGGTGAATGTATCCAACCAATACCATGTGCCAGGAACAAACAGAAGGGATGGAGGGACTCCAAGGCCCGAGTCGTAGCTCAGAATGGGTCAGGTCTGGCCATATTGCCCTTGCCACGCCTGCCTGCAGGGTGCCTGCCTTTGGCATGCAGTCTTCTCTCTTCAAACGCACCAGCAGGACAAGAGTGTGAAGTGACTCTGACCCCTTCTGTACATTGAGTTCACAATCCACCCCTGTGCAGAGTGCATGCGACCCTGTCAGGATGGAAACCACCTTGGTGAGACCTGTGGTGCCAGGTAAAGCCAGTGAGGCACCCAACTACCTGCGTGAAGTTTTAGGAGGCACTGGGGAGCTCCCGGGAGGCTTTGGCTGCTGCTCCCCTGGGAGGCAGAGCCCTGGCAGGTGACAACAGGCATCTCTTGTCTGTTAGCAGGAGGTTGCAGGCTGTGTCTAAAGGCGGGCTGCTGTGGTGGAACAGGGAGGGACAGTGGTGGCCCAGCCAGGTGCTGGCCTATGTGACACACAAGGGAATGGGAGAAACACACACAGGCCTGATTGGGGTTGCTCATGGAGGACCCAGAAGGACAGGGTCACTGCTTGCTGGGATGGATGCAGCAGAGTAGTGCATGAGCTTAGGTTTTTTAATCCACCTGTTGCTCCTGAAGCACACCTACCCTGTGTGAGTAGGTGGCTGCCACCACACTGGCACTGGATCGGCAGCTGGGCTGGAGAGTGGAGTTTCAGGGGAGACAAGGAGCTGGAGGCAGAGAATGGGTGGACTTCAGGCAGCGCTGGGGAGCTTAGGCAGGAGTCTCAGGGGTTGCTTAGGAGAGAGAGGACAGAAAAGGTGCAAAGGCAGAACCCTGAGTAGTCCTGTGCTCTGTGGGCAGCAAAAACCAAGCAGGAACCAGCAAAAACCAAGGAGTCAGGTGACAGCAGGACGTGACAGCAGGATGAGGTGACAAGAGTGAGCAGGAGGGAGACACCAGGATGAAGTGACAACAGGAGTGAGGAGACGGCAGGATTGAGGTGACATTAGGAGTGAGGAGATGGCAGGAGTGAGGAGACGGCAGGAGGGAGGTGACATCAGGAGTGAGGAGACAGCAGGAGGGAGGTGGCATCAGGAGTGAGG